AGATTTCAACGGTTCGGCCACTGGCGCGATAAGAGACAAATGGATCAAGCGCATTACTCTGTGAGACATTGTTTACCTATGCGGTCATGTGTCATAAGGTTCATCTCATTATGCATTTGCGATCGCGGCAGTAAGCTGAGGCAATATTTCTGTATTCATGGATTAAATCCATCAATCGAGTTCTGATTTTGGCTCATATATAAGTAACGGGTCCTCCAGAGCAATTTTCCACCTTGTACGATGGTTATTATTTCTTTACATCTATGTTTAAAATTTGAGGTGGGATAATGGTGGCTTCTCAAGAGCAACGAGGTAGGCGATCTTTTGCACCAACGAACAGAAAACTGATGGCGAAAAATAGCCAATGAAAACCTCCCAAAAAAAAGAATTTGCCTAAAAACGGAACTTCGTGGTTCTGCGCAGATTTACCAGTCAGAAACGACATCTGAAGGTGGAAAAAAACTCGCTGAAAGCGAATTTTAGCAATCAACACAACTTGACGTAGAGACATGATTGGCTAAAAAATACAACGGTTTTTGATACATCGGAAAATCAACCAAAAATCGGAGACTGGGCGAAACGCTCAAGGTCGCAGAGGTATAGGGAATCCCATTGCGAAAGCAACGGAACGATTGTAATATCATGGGGAACTCCGTTCCCATGACAAAATCTGTAAAACTGCATGAATAACGATAATGTCAACACGTATATGCAAGGCATCGGAACCAGGGTGCCTTGCATAGGGTAAAAGAGCCATTATGGTTTATTAAATTTATTTGCCGTGAGCAAATTTCGCTTGGAACTGTTTACCCATCGGCAATAATTTTATACCTATCGGGAGAAAGTTTTTACCTATGGGTAGAAAGTTTCTACCTAGTAGAAGAAACTTTCTACTCATGAGTAGAAACTTTCTGCCTATGGACAAAAATTATTTTCGAGAGAAATATTTTCTCTCTCGAGCAACTAATCGGTGCTCAAGATATAGGAATGTGTCCTGGAGGAGAGGAATGAGGGAAAAGAGAGGAATGTGTGAATTCCTGAGCATTAACTAGTTGTGTGCTTTTATTCGTAATTTATTTATCGGCCCATTAAATTTTACGCAAGTATACGGCAATGTAATTACCCACACGAACTATATCAGGAATTATATCTCATGACCCTAGACTCAATCTGAATCTCGCATACAATTTTGCTACCCTCTATTGGATATGAGCTCCTCATCTCACAGCATCACATCTGACTTGGTAAACTTAAAAGACTTAGCAAATCTTGAAAACTTCCTCTAGAAAACGGTGGCCTCTAAGTCCGTGACATTGGACGATTTCAAGAAATGTCTGCTGGAATCCTTGAGCTCAAGCGGTATGGAGACCGATCTACGCAACTCAGTGTTTCATCTAATGCGATCCATTCATAATTCACAGGACGTCTGTAGTTACAAAGATAAGGAACCTCTGGAGTACTTAAAGAAAGCTCAGGTAAAATCACATTTTAGTATTCCTTAGTACTTAAGCATTATGAGCTTATAAAATTTTGGGATTTTTGACGGATCAAATGTAGATACCTACCTAAATACAGTAAATATCTAAGTATTTATATGTAACCGATGCAATGAACGCATTCTACACATAGAAGACCTATAATTAAGATAATAATTTTTTTTCATGTATTCTCTGCATACTAAAAAGTTTTTGGAATTGGACAAATAACTGAGAGAAAGGAAGCTGGTATTTCAACGTCCAACTACAATCTGCACCTAGATAATTCCAATAAGTCGTTGAGTGTCAGCCCCAGAATTACAAAAGAAAGCATTTCATTTGCCGCGCTGAGTATTACAGCATTCTACTTACAGATAGCTCAGTAACCCGTTTGTGAACTAGAAACTAATTCAACTCGAAGATTGCGATAAAGTAGCCTTCCAAAGATGTCGAGCTTAACTTACGGAACCCTATCAAATTAACAACATAATGACTTGATTGAAAATTATAAATACTGCATTGTATAATTTTCAGATGCTTTGGGAGAAACGAATACACAAGTCCCTGAACTCCATGAGTGCTGACATCAACAGTCTCTCATTGGCACGGTTCCGGCTCGCGTCTGACAGAGATGAGATACTTGAAAAATGGAAGGAGCTAAGCACTTACGAGATAGGTAGGTGAGATATCGTCACCTTCCGGCCAAAGCATCTCAAGCGCCATGCAACATTTAAAACTAATTTCCGCCATCATTCTTTTTACAGAGGAATTGTTCAACAAAGCTTTCCGAAAATTTCACTGAATTTTCTTTGTGCTGCCGGTAAAGTGCAGTGAAATTTTCAAACAGATTCAACCAACAATTTCTTTTAAAAATGTAAAATGGCGGCGGAATTTTTTGGCGCATGGCGCCTGTGATACTCTGGCCAGAAGGTGACGATAAATGCCTTTTTCCTGCCGAGAATATTACTGCGAATAGAGGATGGTTTGGAATGCAAAAGTGATGCTCGTCCATCGGAATGATTATAAAAATGCAGGCAGGCTCGAGTTTTCTTATATTTATTAAGACAGCTATGAAAGCGGCCGCAAAACACTTCATCGTCATTTTGGTGAAAAATTGCTTTGTTGTGGCCGGTGGCGAATAAAGACAGTCACGCATCCTCAGAGTTAATATTATTTTATCAGCATTAACGATGTTCTAATGAAATGGTAACCGTTTTACTGGACCTGCATAATTTAACTTGCATGAAAAAATCGCCTCAGAGTAGACTCTGTCATCTCATTCAATCCACCAAATGATTTTTATCATTATAATCTATTTACTTTTTTTTTACACAGATCTGACTCAATACCGACCTGTGTATGCACCAAAGGATTTTTTGCAAGTTCTTTTATGGCTAAGGAATCCAAATTTCCGTAGTTTCAACTTCAAGTAAGTAAAAATGAAAATTCATCACCCGTAACTATTCATATGCACAATAAATTTGTAATTATAAAAATCATGAGCATCGTAAGCCTAGATGTGCACTTGCTTAAACATTTGCGTGGGCTCTCTTTATTTTTAGTAAATTTTTGTCCTTCCATGTTTTTTTCTACGATGTTTCCTCACACCTGTTTGATTTTAATCTAATTTCCAGGATCAATGATGGAACATGGGAATTCACACACCTCAGTTTGAAAGTGAAGAGTTTTGCAGAGCTGGTATCGTATTAATTTTATCTAATCTCTCCTCTTTCATTTATTCTTTCCTATTAATGGAATCTCTTTTCGAAAGATATTTGTACAATTTGCAATTTTCAACATTTTTGAAGAGTAGATTTTTTCATTATTTCAATGCTCTTTGTATCTGTGCATTTGATGGTCTTGTTCATGGTTGCAAAACGTTTATATAGAACAAATTGACGTTCTTCAACTTCAGCGATGTCTACTTTTTTGCGCCAGCGAATCACTTCAATGTATCTTATAAATGTCTATAAATTACCTTCAAACCAAAAATATTAATGACAGATTTTTTCAATATAATCAGGGTTTTAATAGGATCCCCTTAGACTGTCCTGCAGACAAAGCGTGGATGCGAAGTTGATCCCAACGCCTTAATACAACTATTCGTGTTTACCAGATGTCCGTGTTGCATATGCAAGCAATTGAAGGCGCTTCTAATTTCTTTGTCCTTACCAGTGATGAGTGATGAGTGTAACGTGGCTCGCGCGTCGGCCGAGCAAGGCATCATTGTCTATGAATAAACGTCTGTTAATTGATCATTTTCCATAAGTTTAAATTGCAGATAAATCGATAGATCGCAAAGCACGTCACACCACTGCTCAGATCTATGGAGTATTAAAACTTATAAGCGAGTAATATACCCCCAAAACGTGCAGTTTTGAGTCTTTAGTAAGCCATTCCACCTCCCTTGTTCATCCAGATACCTGCCGATGATTGGTCAAACGGCGCTACGCCGCATGAATACTTTATTGGGAGGAAAAGTTGAAACTCCTTCAATTACTTGCATAGGAAACATGGACATCCATTAATCACGAATAGTTGCATCCAGGCGTTGGCATAGCTTCGCATGACCAAGACCCAACTAGATAGAGAGTGGTGCTCATTATGCTGAGAAGTCTGTTACAAAATATTGTAGAGATGTACATTCCCATCAGCTTGGTTTGATATTCTGTGTTTGAATACATGCGCAGAAAATATTATACGGAGAAATATCTCGCGGGGAGCCTCTGATTGGTGTCCATCATGAAATGCCGTCCCAGAGAGCACCTTATCCCAGTCTAGAAGCTGAACGTATTGCGTTGGGCGAAAAGGGTAAGCAAAAGTCTCATCTTTAGTGATTGAAATACAATTTTTACGGAGGATCATCGTAAAAATCACCGATCTGCTTAGTGTTAGTCAAATTATGATCAGTCCTATAAAAAAAAAATCCAATAATTATTATTCTGCTAAAATCGTCTCTCAAGCAGTTTCAAGAATCTAAAATAAGATGTCCGCCCGATTCCTGAATTTAGGTATGTTTATCATCAGACTTCATTTCTGTTCGGCTAAAAGCTGGTATTTAGATAGAGTTATTCTGTCGAATAATGATATTCAAAATCAGCGAACATTGTAATACAATGTCTGAAAGGTAGTAGCACTGAATATATTGGTATTTGGAGTGTAGCCGAGTGCTAGAAATAATGTAAAATCTTGAATAATGTAAGTTTTTTAAAGAAAATGTTTCATTATTTCTAGCACTCGGCTACACTCCAAATACCAATAATATTCAATTCAATTTCAAAAAAGAAAGCATTACTGTCTCTGTTACCTAGTATTTACTTTGAAGCTTAATATTTGTATTTACTTACGCCAATCCCTGGTAAAAATTGGCGATAGGAGCTGCGTTTTAAAATACCATAGGAGTTCTTATAGTCGACTGAAGAAGACGATAGAAAATCATATAGCTGGCTGTAGAAAGTGGAAAAAATCATACGGCCAGGCTACACGAAGCGATAAAAAATTAAACAGCCGGGCTACAGTTCCTGTCACCGGGCTTTACACTTTATCACCTGGCTGTTGCTTTTTCGCCATCGGCTATAAAAGGCTATAAGAAATTGGGTAGAAATTCGTGTGCTTTGTAAATCCCCGAGTTTGTACGGAATCACCATAATATTTACAAAACGCACATTATATTTTCCTTTACTACATATTTGTTTTCATCAATTAAAATGAGAATAATCCATACAGAGTGTGCAAATATTTCAAAGTCATGAGTTGAACAACGCTGACTCCACGAGATTAAATATTAGAGCCGCCTAACACAAAGCGGAGAGGCGGCGCACTGGCGCCTACAAACCTAACAGGGATACTTCACGCATTGCGCAATGCGTGAAGTATCCCTGTTAGGTTTGTAGGCGCCAATGCGCGTTTCGCGCTGGTTGCCCATTCGCCGCGCTGCGCCGCAGCGTACCACGGCGCTTGAAGGAACTATTTAACACCAGAGGTATTGCACAGTATCGTACGAAATTGAATGCGCTCCAACATAGTAGGAATGGCAGGCATCCTTCAAAAGTACGGAGCTTCCCTCGCAAAATAAATCAAGATACTACGGCCCAAAAAGAGAGCGGTAGTCCAAAAACTCACCAAGTCCTAGCATCCGTAGGTAATTAGTAACGAATAGCATACACTTTTTCGTCAGGCTGTTGCTTAATCGCCACCGGCTGTAAAAGGCTATAAGAAATTGTGTTGCCGGTTATAGAAGCTATTGGAAATCTTACAGTCGGGTGAAGGTCTATGGTATTTTGGAACACAGATTCTACTGCCAATTTTTACCAGGGATCAGCTATCTTAAGGTCTTTTTCTGGCACGTTGGACCAATGAAGTTAAGAGGGATGGTTATGGTTTTATTATTTTTAATGTTCTCAGTTATTGCATTCAATCATGCGCCTGCAGCTCAGGAGTATCTGAAGAAGGGAGCTCCTCTGTGCATAAGAGCCAGGATTTGGACACAACTCCTAGGATCAACCGTTACGCCAGAGGTACTGCAGAATCAATGTTATGTTGTTTCTGTGTCCTAAAACACTCGTATTTTGCAATGCCTGCTTTCGCTTTTAAATATCTCTGAGTATTTAATTGAGATTTTTTTACTGACGATTGTCCAGTTAATCATAGCCATATCTCTTTTTTAAAAAAATGACTGAATATGGAGGTGAACTCTCTCTTGAGACACGGGTGCTTCTCCATCACGGTCCCAATTTTAAGCGCTTTTTTGAACTTGAGAGTTGATTTTGGAAAAACCTAGTGGCAAGATTGCGTTCCTTACAAAATGCTACGTAGGAATCAATAAAAAATCTTAGTAGCGCGATTGTGTTCCTCACGAAATTTTACGAAGGAATCAATACAAAATTCTAGCTGCCTATAAAAGAATTTTAATGCCTCCTTTGAAAACTTAGAATTACTTTCTTATTACTGACATTGCTGTTTTCCTTTTCTTCTTTTTTTTTCTTAGCGAGAGGAGTATTTCAACAGACTCAAGCAAAGGGTTTTACAATATGATTTAGTCGTAGACAAACTAATTATCAAGGTGAGTGGAGTGATGTTACATTAGGTAACTGTAGATCTCAACTTAAAAATCGAGGGCTGAGGAGCAATGCCGCCTGACTTACAATTTTGGCGAGAATAAGGTAGCAACTTTGCTACATTCTACATTATAAAATACGCTAGCCGATGTTTTTAGTTTTTCCAATTTCCCATGGGAGCGCTGTAATGTATAAAAATAGAGGATATCTAACATCAGAATTACAAAGTTGGCGAATTTTCCTTTTCGCACCGTAAACTCATCAGTCAGCAGATGCGCGGTATTGTTTCTTAGCTAACAAAATGTAAAAAAAAAAGAAATAAATAAAAAAAATAAATAAATAAATAAAAAATAGGACGATTCTCCCTCAATTGACGTCCAAAATTGATACAGATACAGTTTGACCATACAGCAGAAAATATTGTAGAGTCTTTATAAATATATGTAAGCGCGCTAAGACCAAAAACTGTGGGTGGAATTTGAGTGAAGGTACAGCAAAATTTTTCGTCGTTTGTTGAATTGATTCGAAGCCCCTTTAAATTTCACTTTACGTAAACTTAATGAAATATTCTTCACTCAATTATGACACAGCAGCGGTTTCATAGGACCAAGTCAAGCAGAGAATTACCATAGTTATTTTTTATTTATTATTATTAATATTTTCTTTTGTCCACTAAAAAGAGTTTCCCATTACCCTCTGTGTATTCACCTACTTCGGCGTTCAAATGTGAACCTAGAGTTGGTGTAGGTAACTACTAACATGCGAATAGATTCAAAAGTAAGGTCGTATGGGCGCAAGGACTACAAAAGTCGCTCATATTACAGTACTCAAATATCCATCTAACTCCAAATCATATGCTTATTCAAGTTTGTGTATATATTACAGGATGTGCAACTCACTGCGTCAAATGATCCATCATATTTTGTTTTCGAGGATCTTCTGTATCAGGTACACACTTTTTAAAGTTCTTCATTGACAGTATTATCTTATTCACCTGTGTACCTAGATCTTTCCTGCAGGCTGATTATTGAAATTTATAGAAAAAGGAGGCAAAGAGAAATTAGAGTGATTCTATTGGTCGAAACGTGTGGTTCTCATAGACGAGGGAAAATGATGATCTAATTATGGGGTCTCTGATTAGTTGCCGTTAATTAATCTATTACTTACTTCTCTTTTCCACTGCAACCATTAGCTTCCACCAATTGGATCGGTCCATTTTCATTGGTCCTCTTTGTCTATCGCTTTGTCTATAAATTTCAATAATAATCAGCCCGCTGCTGAACTCGGTTCAATTGTTCATTGGATCTAATCTCAGTAATTTTCTGCAGTAAAAAACAGAGTAATATAAACTTACATTCCTGATGATGGTTAACTAAGATTTGCCATGGAGATTCGTCCATTCAATTGATTAAACTCGTAATAAAGTGTACCTATCAAAATGTGTTCGTTAATTTTTTATACACCAGAGTCTGGTCGTTTTATATCTTCATGTTTTTAAACAATGTCATAAATGTTAAAGCAGACAAAAGAATGAGTAAATGTAGACCGCTTTCCTAAGAAGCAGAAGGCCCAGTAAGCAAGAGAACAGGGCATGCAGTTTTATTCTTAGAACGTAGGGGTAAAAGGCAGCGGGGCTTTATTGCACTGCAATATTGCAAAGTTTCACCTCATAACTTATTTCTGAATTTTGTTAAAGAGTGTGTGTCTTGTATTAAAACTTGCATGGATTTTCGTTCAAAACAAAAATAATTCTCTCATTGAAATTTGAAAAAAATATCTTTAGCCGTTCGCGAATAAGTTAATATATTTTTATGTCAAAGTTTGCGACGCTGCAATGTAATAGATATTTACGTTAAATCAAGTATTCTCTCCCTTTCTAATGGTCACTTTTCGGACTGAAAGGATCAATTTTGCATCCGAGACAAGTCAAGCGAGCAACGACTGTAAAACTCATCGTGGGAATGGTCTAGGAGTAAGTCGACTCCTCGCCGTTTGTTTATCATCGAAGATTTAATTGCAGTAATTGGCCAATTAAATGAGAGGCATCTAATGACTCTTTAACCACGATAAACATACGCGGCGGATGAAACCGCAGAGCCAGGTATACTGACCCACCTCAAGGCCCCACGTACCCGCCGGCTCAATGGCACATTCATTCTCAGCCGTCAGAAAGAATGTTGTCAGTCATTTTCCCATCATTTTTATGACGCCTTGTGATACCGAATTTCTCAGCTCAACTTCCTCTCTGACAGTTCATAGGCTATTTCCTTCTTTTCCGTTTCGAAGGAGGAGACAGATCATAGGCGGACCCAGGCACTTCGAACGGGGGGAGAGGGGGCGTAAGGGGGTTCGTGAGGCTTCTCCCAGGAAATTTACGAAATTTTAAAGTTTGTAATACACAGTTTGAGTTAATTTCGTCATGAATAATCACCAAATGCAAGCGTCCTTTCTTCCTCTTTTCTCCGTTCCACCCTTCCTTCTTTCTTTCTTCCCTTTTTCTTCCATCTTTCTTTCAAGCGAATGGAGAGGGGGGGGGGANACCCTCCCCCCCCATCCGCCTATGAGACAATAAAGAGAGCGCATTGATCAATTAGTCATTTTGGGTCACAGGAGGTCAAGGAGGGCCGGGGCCATTATATGATTGAGTGAGCGTCAGGGCCGTAATTACATTAAAACATTTTAAAATTTACTCAGCAACCTTAATTTTAATTTGTAAGCTCTACATCGAAAACCTCAGGAAATTTTCTTTAGAGAAGACTGACGAGAATTTCAATAGAATATTGAAGCACCTATTTACAGAAAAGGTGCTGGGTCGGATTTTTTTTCGTGATTCAGTTTTCGATGGAAAAGTAATCCTTTTCTGCCTCCTGTGTAGTATTTCTTGTCTCATTAATTTTTTTGGGATTCCTCCGAAATAAGCTATTTAATTTATTAAAATTTTTTCAGTAAAATAAGCTTACGTGAAACTGGAAAAGGTTTCGATGCAAATAAGATCCTTTGATTTTTGCCCTTTCAAACCATTAAGACCCTGGACAATATATTTGGACTTATATTCGTGAATGAGAGACGGTTACTCAGTTTCGGAGGATGTATAAATTGACCTCTAATTCCTTTCCAAATCATAAATTGATTAAAAACTCAGAAATAATTGACGAAAAACAGCAATAAAACAGCTATGACCGTAATATTTTGGACGAGTACATTGACTGTGTTTTTATTGTTTTGTATTTCAATGAAATAGATTATGTTATGTTTCTACCGGGATACGGATGTGCTATCAATTTTCCATCACATCTGCGCAACGCCGATCCGCGGAGTGCTCAGGGGCAAGGCGCCGACCACCAAAAATTCCGTGTACTACCCACCGAATGGAATCATACCTTTCCATGGGTTCACCATGTACGGTAAGTTCCTAACAATAGCACTGTCTTAGTAGGCTCCTGAGAGTTTATTCGATTAAAGAGAAGAGATGAATGTAATTTTGAAGATCTCATACTTAAAACTTCATTAATGATGTTGATTTGTCCTCCTGTAAAAAAATAAAACAGGAGTAGCGATTTTTGTACGCCGTAAACGAGATAATGTGCTTTAGGAGTTTCAACGTCGCATCGACAGTCTTGCTACAAAAAAGCACGCTGCACAGCCCTGTCAGACCGCGAGAGCGAATTAAATTAAGCACTGGTGAAGGATGAGGATTTTTGACGCGCATTGCTAAATTGCCTTCAAAATTGTAGGTATGCAACCCCGCCACTGCTGCGTTTGAATAGTTATCGCAGGAGATGAAGGAGCACTCTTAGGAGTGTCTTACGCCACAAAGATGTAGCACAACTGCCACATTGGTTCAAATCGTAGTATTCTCTAAATCCCGACCTTAAATGATATTTAGTTTCACTTTTACACATTGATACACTCTAATATAAGGATACGAAAAATTATATTCCATTTTCTGGTGGTGTGTGAATAAGTGTTTTCATTTTTAGATTTGTCCATGAAACAAACATACTTTGCAAATTTTGTTGATTCAATACACTAATGTGCTAAAAATACCATGGGCACTATAAAGAGTCATCGGCTCATACCTATATCTGAAATAAAAAATGAAATGAATGAAAAAGAGATATTAGACCGAACACTATATTTTTGGACAAATTTATTTTATACCCAACTCATGCTCCTTTCTTTTTGGTCCGGTATTTTCAGCATGTCCTCTCTGTTACCTGTACAAAGAGCCGGTAGCAGTGTACTGTACTTTTAAAGCATTTTACATGCGGTACTGGTTCCGAATGCACGAAGTTAGTTCCTCTGAGCAGGGCATTTTGGCGCTGTGTCTTCTGTTTGCACGACTTCTGCAGCGATATGAGCCTGTTTTATGGATGCATTTCAAGACAAATCATATCCAACCGTAAGAGTTTCTACATAATTTGCTTAGCCGTACGAGATACCTCACTTCCTATATATGTAACTACTACCTACCATCCTAATACATACGTACCTAACTTTTTTTTTTCAAAACAATTATTGACTTGGACACTATAGTATATTTTAAGCAAATTTAAAGTTAGATTTCTTCAAATTTCAAAAATAAGCGATAGCTCAACGCGCGTTGATGCTAGCACAGAGATACGACTATTCGCGCTCGATGGGTGTCCATGTTGCATCTGCAAAACTGAAGGCGCGATGGCTCGAGGCAAGAATTCGCAATGATCCGCCTTATGCCGCTAGTGAGGTGTAGTTCAGATTCGAGAGAAAAGTTAAAAAAAGAGACCGGGTGACGCATTTCCTATATCTTTGGCTGTGTTGCTCGCACGTGTCCCTTGAAACATCGCTATAGAATTAAGACAAACAGAACCAACACAACAAGGCAATACAGCAAGGGAAAGGTCACGCGTTGATGACGGCGCGGAGATACAACTATTCGACCTCGATGGATGTCCATGTTGCATTTGTAAAATTGAAGGCGCAAGGCGTGTACTCGCAATGCTCCGCTCTGTGCTGACAAAGAGCTGTCGCTCAAATTTTGCAGGTAAGTTAAATCAACGAGGCCCGAATACTCCCTATTCCTCGAATTCTTTTTTATTTTTATTTTCAACTCAATGTTTGATTCTCCTTGTACAATGTATTTATAGACTTCTTTCTAAAGTTTGTATAAACCCACCGATTACATACAACCCGCGGGTCACGTGATTTTAGCAAGCTTCGGGTCGATTTGACCCGGCTCTGGCATCTAAGGGTTGATGGCTTTCACGGTAAGAAATTCTTTACTGGTATATCATCGATGTTAAAACCACGGGTCCCGTTTGCGACGTTGCAGATTTTCTGTCATACTTTATTTTTTGAAGGGGAAACTATTCAACGTCAATATACATTAAAACTTCCTTCATTTTTGTTCTCTGCACGAAGAAAATTACCATTGTGAAATCTTCTGGGACCGATGTTGATTTTTTCTGTTTACAATAAAAAAAAAAAAAAAAAAAAAAAAAAAAAAAAAAAAAAAAAAAAAAAAAAAAAAAAAAAANGCTGGCGAGATACGTGGTTTGGGAGTTTTACCATCGACATACAGGTGCGCGACTGTTTTCGTCTTCTTCTTTTTAACTAAAATTTTTGATTTTTTCGTGGAAAAATTATGCTCTATTGATTAAATTCATCCTCTCGGTCACACTTTCGTCCGTAAAGATCCGAACGTTTGTTTCCTGGTTTTAGAGAGTTCGCTCCACTGAAGCCTTTTTGTTGACGTAAGGTTTCAATAATTCAAGAGAGCTCTGGTAAAAATTGGCAGTAGAATCTGTGTTCCAAAATATTATAGACGTACAGCCGGCTGTAAGATTTCCAATAGCTTCTATAGGCTACACAATTTTTTATAGCCTTTTATAGCCGATGTCGATTAAGCAACAGCCAGGCGATAAAGTGTATGCTAAACGTCACTAATTACGGATGCTAGGACTTTGTGAGTTTTTGGAATACTGCTCTCTTTTTGGGCCATAGTATCTTGATTTATTTTGGAGCTTGATTTATTTTGATTTATTTATTATCGAGGAAAGCTCCGTACTTTTGATGGATGCCTGCCATTACTTATATACGAGTAGAGGGCCTTCAATTTCATATGATACTGTGCAATACCTCTAGTGTGAAGTAGTTGCTTCAAGCGCCGTGGCACGCGGCAGGCGAGCAGCCAGCGCAAAACGCGCATTGGTGCCTACAAACCTAGCAGGGATACTTCACGCGCTGCGCAATGCGTGAAGTATCCCTGTTAGGTTTGTAGGCGCCAGTGCGTCGCCGCTCCGCTTTGTGTTAGGCTCTAACATTTAATCTGGCGGAGTCAGCGGATAAAGTGTAAAGCCCGGCGATAGGAACTGTAGCCCGGCTGCGTAATTTTTTATCGCTTCGTATAGCCCGGCCGTATGATTTTCCCCGCATTCTACAGCCAGCTATATGATTTTCTGTAGCCTTCTCTAGCCGGCTATAAGAATTCCTATGGTATTTTGAAACGCAGCTCTTATCGCGAATTTTTACCAGGGAGCTCAAATATTTAACTCTAATTGAAATGTTAGCCCTTGGTCTTCCCGCAAAATAGTGTGAACCGAGCACTATTTTGCCACCTTGTTACAAATAGTTCGGGCCACTTTTTAAAATTGTATTTCTTGTTCGAAATTTACGTACATGGTCTGAATATTTAATTGTCCACACCGTAAAATTTATCATACGCAAATCGATTTTAAAAGAAGAAAACTATCTTTCGATGCACTTACGTAGGTATACATCTGAAACTGGCTTGATATTATCCTGAACGAGGAAAATGATGGAGGTAGCTAACGGGAAGGCCTGATGTTACTTACCTACTAATCATAGTACGTAAAGGTATTTATTACCGCACTACCGCCAGTGTAATAGTCCGTCGAGGTTATGGTTCTGCTGGATACAACTTTTTACTGCTGTTCTTAGCTTTTATTTTACTCAAACTCATCACCAGGTTTCAAGGGATTCAAAAATATTTTAAGTTCATAAACTACCGTAAGATATTATATTTATTCACTGTCTGTACCGAGGGTAATATTGACAGGTTAAGTTCGTTAATTCAATTTTACTCACAAATAGCTCCAGTAAAAAACTACTTCCCTGGTTTTTATTTTACTTTATTTTAGAGAAAGGATGGGGGGGGGGGGAGCCTGCTTACAAGACAGCCGGAGATGAAAAATTGTGACGATCGTCTAGTTTTCGCCTCCTCTCTATCACCTCTTGGTTCAGGGTGTGCGCATAAATGTCCGACAATTTAGATTAGAAACGCCTTCTAATTCAGCGGATACTACACCGTATGCATGGCGGTCGTGGTATCTTGTTTTTTTTCGCTCGGAAGCAACTGGACCAGTTGTTGAATGCCAAAATTACACTATACGATGAGTCGACGTTGATTGCGACGTTGCTGATTTCTGTTGATTTTAAATTAATTTTAAAGAAAATTAACCAAAAAGTTGTCTTGAACTAGTCCTCATTTGTTTAAGAATAGTTAGAGCAAACAAGAAGATATTTTAAATAGTTCTGTTTCGAAAAAGTAAAACATTAATCGAAGATTTTGAATCTTTTCTCTTCACAGGGGCCTGATGGTATTGAGTAGTCACATCGCACGGTCATACATTTTCTGGTGGGAGGAGGTAGGGGGGCCCTTCAGGTCTCCCTAGCTACTTCAATGATTATTGGAATCACAAGTTTATTCACTCGTCTCTCCTCAGGATTCAGAGACCTTGATCTCTGCTTTTTAAGACCTGACCATCCCGTTACCACTTTCTATTCAGGCTGGCTTCCTGTTTTATATTATAATGATATTTACTCCCTTTTGAGTATGATAACAATATTGAAAATTTAGGCTACGATAACAATATCCTCACATCTAATTTTTATCATTTGCAGGGTGAGAGTTGTCTTCAAATGGTTGATGCGAGGATTCAGTGGGTATTTAGCTGTAGAGCAGTTACTTTTACTGTGGGATGTAATTCTTGCTTATGACTCTTTGGAGGTCATATCTATTTTAGCAGTGGCAATTTTATCCTTCCGGAAAGACAGTCTATTTCAAGTCAACAATCAGCAAGATGTTGAGGTAAGTTCTTAACAAAGGTTTTTCAATGGACATTTTTAGGATAAAAGAAAGCTACGACCACATTCTATTGGCATAGATTTTCCGCATTTAGAAATTTTACAGTAAATACCTACTTACTGGGTACACTTCCCAAGTCTCAGGGAACATTGTAAAACTCTTCTAAATAATTCCTAAAATATATTCATGATCAAATTTTTATTTCTTAGTATTTGAACTGAGCCACAGGTAAGCAAGTTACCAATAAATGTGATATTTTTGAGAAACTTGAGACAACCATCAGATGCTAGCGCTCATTAAAACCTACAACCTTGTTTCAAAAAGCCTATTTGATTAGCAAATAAAGGACGCTTGCAGCTACTTAGAAAATTGTTCAATACACTGAGAATGATAGTAGTCAATTTTTAGTTTAGAAGAGCTAGTATTACTCTGTCAGAGCCTTTGCAAAAAATTACTTTTAAATAATTTTGAAATGTACTCATCAACCGATGAGAAAAAGAGCTCAACAAGGAAATTACTGGATAATAAGGAGAGGCTAATAGAATATTTTAACAGAAATATGTTTTATTCAGTTAAGATAGTCTTCAGAAAAATAGAAATCACAAAAGTAAGACCAAAATCCAAGGCTAACATACATTAAAATATAAATTATTGAAACAGCAAATACAGAATAAGGAGGCTTATTATTAGTTGTGCTCGTAATGACATAGAGGCTGCGAATGGAATGTGACATGAAAAATACCTAATTGAAATATTTGAAGCATAATGGTTTACTGTAAGTGCAATCATTGATTATTTAGTATTCTAAATTCAAAACCAAAAAGAACAGCAAATATCAGAAACAATGAAAAGAGAGTAGGTTCCTCAATTTTTTATTGAAATGTAACACTTTCTTGGCGAGAACTGAATAACATTAAGAGGACAGCAGCATTGATAAGGACTATAGACAATACCCCAAATAAACAACATCATCCATAGGGCAAGCAATTTATAAGATCTTACTGACAAGATTTTATTAGACTTTAAGATGAGGTGTTCGACTATCCCTTCATTGCCATAAAATAAGTCTCAAGTAATAGTAGAAATCATTTCGTGTCACTGATGTGCACGTACGAACAATAGCTAAAAATAAAAATATTGCCTAAACTTTAAAAAAAAACATACCATTAAAATACTCAAATCACAGAGTACTTTTAAAGCAATAAAATTATTTAACTATCGAGATATCACCTGGAAAAAGGAAGAAATACAGCTTGAAATTCAAAAACTGTATCAAACGATAGTGCAAAATATTGATGAAATAGTAACAAAGTGACAATTAGTTTAAAATACATTGTTCATGGTACAATGAATGTTTCTTTCTACATTCCTTTTCTTTTCTGAAAAGATACAGAATAAACTTTGCCAACACATTTTGTAAGACAGATAAGTTCATAATAATTTAAACGAGTACCGATGAATTTAAGGTATTTTTCTCCTTATTTCAGTGTTTCTGAGAACTCTCAAGTTCCTCTCTATCTTTTCAACTTTGCTTAAAACCGATTAAATTTTGATGACTAAACTTTTTTCTGTGAATTAAACTTGTCAGACAAATGTATTTCTTCCTTTACTCCATCAATAAATCAAACAGCAGAAAGAGTAAAGCTGTAGACTATGCGGGGAAAAAAAAAGAAACATATTAAATTACAAACGATTAGCTAAAACCCTGAGCGTTCGCGGGAAAAGTAGTACACGAATTTGTCAGAGACTTCAAATCAAGCTCCAAACTTATGAAACTCTTAGAAAATAGAATGAATAGAGACAGATAAGATTGGGGGAGAAATGATTGTTTTGTAAACTTAAGACTGGTTGATCGAAGAGTTTTGATCGTTTTTGATGGTCACCAGTATTTATCATCATTTTAAACACTGTGGTATTGCTGGTGCAAATCATTGATAATGGGTCCTCCGTGAATCGAATTACCATTTTTTTATTTCAGGTCAATGATGAAGTAACTTTACTTACTGAATATTGATTCACAAGGTAGAAATTAATTTTTTAAAGAAAGAAAATATTTTTGGCGTAGAAAAGTTATATTGATTTCTTGTTGATTGTGTCATTATTTTTTCAGGGTGTGCTGGCTGATTTATCAACAATCCGAGTTATGCCCTTGATTCAAATGTCCCTGATTCGAGAAACAATCCCTTAAGAGGGCAAGAAAAAAGTGGCTGAGGAAAACAACTTATTGGCAACTTTAGTAGTTGCAAAATCGGGAACAATGATGAAGAAAAACTGCGATAGAAAACAAACAATCTTTGATAAAACTCAAGTTCCGACAGAGTTCGGAATGAGAAAAACAAAGATTATTGAGTTGAATAAATGCTGATAACTATTTACAGAAAACTTTACTTTAACATGTCTTCGAAAGAGAGAGAATCTAGGGAGATATGATTTCACTTAAACCCAAGATTAATTCATACGATTGTTTAAAATTAAATGCATGGAAATTATTGTGGTCCACTGTATGCAAAGGGAAAAATTGACAGAAATTATAAGCCAAAAGTTCTTGAGATTCATTCATTAAGTGCACGAAAAATGATGAAAAAAGTTGTAGGAAGAAAGTATTTGAGATTAAAGAGGAAGGTGGTCAAAGGTAAGACTCTATAGAAACACACTGACCTTTAAAAAAGGTGCATGTAACTTCAAGATAATTCCATTCCATTTTATTTGATAATCACACTCTATGAGTGTTTAAAATGAGGCCAAGGAAGATATTTTCATCACTTCAACACTCTACAAAATCTTTTGCTTCCATGAACTTCTTAAAATAATACGGAGAAAGGGATTCGGAAGAAATCAAAATCACTCTTTAACTAGAGGTCACTGCAAAGAATATGATTGGGCATATGAAGGAGAAGAAGAGAATCAGAGATGAAAGATCATAATTTCACGCATTATTTAAAAGTTACATCAATATCCCTGTTGTGAACATATTTATGAAAGTCACAGTTACTAGAGGTTTATAGACCTGTACCAGAAGTTATTTCTTGTTTTGTAATTCACCTTTAATATGCAGAGATGTAATGAAAAAAAATTAATAAGTCTTTACTTAATGAAGAGTTTCATTGTGACGAATTAACACTGACATGATGCTTCTAGTTGTAAAGGATTTTATATAAAAAATAATTTCAGTTACTTTTTTTTTGTGGAACATCTGTATTAGATATGTGTTTAGTGGAACAACAGGCAAATCCATTTTTTGATGGAGAATGAACGATTAAAAATGCGAGAAAATCCTGACGATAAAAAAGATTAACAAAGAGAAAGTAGTTTTGGCTATATAATAATTACAATTCACATTTGAATGACCCCATAAGATTGTGCAGGAAAAAAATCAATATACATTGAGAGAACTTGTTTTAAGGAATGATGTTTTTTTCGGACTGGCAGTTTTGAAAAAACCAGAGTTCAAGATATTCAATAGTTAAGAAACAGTACAATTCCCATTTCGTGTAGGGTGATTACCTTGAGAATATTCTTGTTCTGATAGTGCGATGGCTCTTGCTAGAGCTTCATCTTCTTCCATTTGCCTATTCTTATCCATACCATTTCCAGATTTCTGTAACAGAAATGAAAGAAGAATGTAAGAACAAGGAAAATTGAAAATAAAGGATAACCAAGAGAATAAAGTTATTCAACACCAAAAATATTAAGAAATTTATTTGTGGTTTTTATATGAAGAATTGTGAGTGTAACTGGTAAGTTAAGTAAAAGATTCAAGGAATATATAGAACAATGGTTTCATTCTTCCCATTCCTCTTTCTAGGAATGTAGTTCGAACAGGCATTTTTGATACTTAAAAAAAAGAAGATATGTAGAAAACAAGGGTGTAGAGAGGGCCGAGCCTTCTCCCAAATTCCAATAACCTTCCTCTATGTTTAATTCAAATTCATGATCACTTCTCCCTGAAAAAAAAGAAGAATTTAAGAAGAATTGCTACCCCAAACTTTTATACCGTTCAGACACTGTGTTTTGAAAGAGTCCAACTGGGTTCCCTTATTTTATCCTGTCCCCAATTTTCCCCATTAACAGAGAGGCTCCCCTGCTCTTACAAGGCTCCTCTACTTCACGCAGTCGCCCGGTGAGGAAGTTTCTGCACCCCTGGTGTAAAATGATTCAGTGCAATTGCAAAAAAAGCTTTTGCTTAATACAGACAAATCTTTGCCATCAAAGGGTAATTTTTGACAATCGAGACAAAATTCAAGAAACGTTAGCACATAAAAACTTACTGCATTAGCTTCTCCACGACAACTTGTAGAAGAAATACTCAGTTTGTTCGTCATTCTTGCTATTGCTGCTTCCCTGTAAGGAGGAAAAAAACATTACATAAAATTGCACGACTTTCGGCAGAAAATATGGAAAAAATATGTAGTGTTCTAATGTCTCTTGTACTCGTAACAGTGCTAAATAATTTTTATTCATGAGAATTTAGTTTCATTTTTTCCATTTATTTAGGTATTTTCTAGTATGTTGTTCTTTGCTGTTGGAAATGAGATCGAGATGCTCCCAAAATCTTCTGCTCATCTATTTTTCGAAAGTGACATCCTACAGTTTTTATTCCAGACTAATTAATTAAAAATTATTGGGAGAATATCACACATTAATTTGTTGATAACGGAGCTCTTGCAAACCTCACGAATTTGCAATTTACTTTCTTTCCCAGCTGTAAAATGTTGCGAGAAACAAAATAATGCCATTGATTTCCCCTGAAACAAAGTCCAAGGCTCAGAAAAAGCTCTCAAAGTTAAAAAGGAGTCCCTCTTGCTATGTTGAGAACCCACCAATATGTCCAGGCAAACTCTCCATGCACAGATAGGGAGGAAATACATAAACGGAGTTGACACTTCGGGGAGTGCAAAACTTGAACCGGAGCAATTCTGCAATTACATGAGCTCTTTATTTGTGCACGAAGGAATTAAATGGATATACAGGTGGGCCCTTAGCATGACAAGGGGGATCCCCTTTGTTACAACCTGGACTTTGAGAGCTTTCTCTGTGCCTTGGAGTTCGTTTCGGAGGAAACCAGAAGCACCTTCGTTTTTATTGCAAAATTTTACAGGAGAATAAAAACTTGAATTGCGAATCCCGGATGCATGAAAGAGCTCTATTATATAAGAGGAATCAACCATTTCATGACAAGGTTTGCAAAGAGTTGTAGGGGCTTAAGTACGTAAAGGTTAGTCATAGGTCAAAAATACATGAAGGGTGGATAAATGAAATGAAAAGAAAAGGTATGGAACAACTTACGCTGCTTTAGAAAAGTACTGAGATGATGAAGATGCTTGAACTGGTTTGCCTTTACATTCATGATCTGCTGGATGACGATGTTTCAAACAGAAGTTCTGTTTGCACTCAGTGCAGAGAACTCGTATCATTTCTTTTCCGCGGCATTTTTTCATAGAACACTTATTGACAAACACCTGCAAATAAAAGCACATTCAATGTGAGCTGACATCAAAACTTAAATGGAAATTAATAAAGCTTCGCAATATTGTTTCCCCTATTTATCCTGATGATGCTAGGCAGTATCGCAAGATTAAATTAATTTTTTTCTTTTCTTTTACCAATTTTCAAGTAGCTGACAGGGCTAATCTCTTGCTCATTACCCACTTAGATTTTTCAATTAATCAAGGAATAATGCTAACTGAAAATTACTTCAGTGGGTTTAAGTGGAAGCTAAAATTTATCATAATAACATATGCTGGATAAAAGTATGGCTGGATTCAAAACATTGCAAGCCTTTCGAAATTGAAAAATATTCAGCTCAAAGGGAAAATGAGAGAAATAATCTATATGAGAGATGCTTAGAGAAATACTTGTGATGATTCAGGATTTCAACCTAATTTTGTTATTTTTCAATACCTTGATTTTCCTGACTTTGAAAGTTCCGAATTCCCTGACTTTTGAACAAAACTTCCACTTACATTTCTCCTCTACAATCTAGGTTTTTCAGACCAACGGAAACCCTGCAAGTTATGACTAACCTTTCTTCGTGAGGTGGCAGTATCCGAACGGCAATCATTATCTATATGTCTGCCAACAGACTCGTCTGGCTGTGTCCCTCGTGGTGTGTGAATAAGCTGATTACACAGTGGACAAACTGGAACTTGGACATCTTTTGTGTAAGCAAGAGGGCAATTATGAGTAGCATACGTCATGTGCTCACGACTGAAATATAGAAACATACAGACTTAGATTACTTAGGTAAATAAGTATTGACCACTCGTTGAAGGTTTCACATTTTAATATCTTAATGAAATAAAATACAATACAAATAATGAGTGAAATCAGAATCTGACATTGAAGTAGATACATGTAAAAATTAATTTTGATTTCCAGAAATTTCCGCAAAAAGCAGAATATTTAAAATTGAGTTTGGTTACTTTCACATGTGCGCATATATTTTTTTGAAGGTTGGGCCAAGTATCAGGTCTTTCGGTCTAATTCTGAAAAGTAAGAAATTAGTTCTTTGATGAGGAGGAAAATTGAAAGAATGCATACCAGAACACTTTGCTGCAGGCATCACATTTAACAGGAAGAAAATCTGGAAAAAAAAAGAGAAAATATTGAAAATACCTAAGGCAAATTTGGAGAAAAAACCATAATCATAATTGTTATTAAGTTTCAGACCAAGTATTACATCTACTGAGGGGGAAGGTATTAGATATTGCAAGGTAAAAATACGAGCTTGAAGAAAAACTCTCTGACCTCAGAATTGCATCCAATACATACTGAATTATTGCAGAGCTGATAATTTATTATTTTTTCAATTTGAGCTAAAAGCTTCATTGATAAAGAGAGTAACCCTAGAACACTTGCATAGAGCAAGCAAATTCAAGACCAATGTCACACGAAGTGTTTTTCGATGTTACATCATCTTATTTCTTCCTGTTTATTACATTGAATCGTGCCATGCAAAAACCGCTAGTGTCCATTTCTCTAGCTTTGAGTTTTTTTTACCTTGAAACCACTCTCTTGGTTGCAGTTAGCTAAATCTGAAAAATATTGTCAACCCAAAAAACCTCAAGACTAGAAAAATGGACATCAGTGGTTTTTACGCGACACGATTCAATTGTTAGGAGGAAATAGGGTGTCTGATGATGGTTTATCTTCAAATTTCATCAATTTGTGAAATATTCAAGCAAGCAGGAAGTTATGGCTTCATCACATGGTGAGATATTGTATTAACACCATTTCAAGCATAAGTTTCACTTGAGAATCCAGAGGGGATTAAAGAATTGGAACGCATACGGAAATATTCAGAAAATTAAATTATAAGGATATTTTACCTAGTTTTCTGCAAGTTAGTTCTGCACAGTTTTGACCAAGATCCGGAAACTCCATGATTCGCCTCTCAAGAATACAAAGAAAACTGCAATTCAATCGACGAAAGCAGAGAAATAGAGCTGCTGGAATGAAGTTGGATGTCACAAGAAATCACAGACTAAAATTGCTCGAATGATCTAAACTCTCCTTATAGTAGCAGCCAAGAACACTATTACTGGAGAGCACTATCCTCGCGCTTGTCGTAGTGGATCAGGACCTACTTAGCTTGGAAGAAGCAGGAAATGAGAATGATGAATTGATGAATGAAATCAGGAAAAAGAGAAATTTGCTCAAAATTTAATTGTCATTGCGATGTAAACACAGACATAACCTTGACAAAATCGCAATCGATGACTCTATGACTCATCCCGAAATCTCATCAGCTGATTGATGGTGACATTGTGACCTCTCTCTCTTATAGGTTATATTTGTGTTGTTTTGCAATAACTGATAACAGGTATCACCCACAATTTGATATTTAAAGGAATAAGGACATATATACTGCCAGAAAAATGGTCTTCAGGGCGCTCGTCTCAAGATCAGGTTCCCTCCGCTTCAAAATGTTTAATGTGAGTAGTGAATTTAATTTATAATGAATTTGATAAATCATAACTGTGAATCGAGATCTGGTCCCAAGTCCAGGGGCCGAATTTTGTCGGTCCTTCCACCGTACTTAAATATACTTAGGACGGGTCTCGACTGCACTTAAGTCCGGCTTAGCGCTTCTGATTGTCCGGTGGTGCGATTTGAACTCACCAATGGATGTTGCACTCGGTGTGAAAAAGTGGACAAAATTCGGCCCCAGATTGGATACCTATCTGCTTAAAAGTTTTGGAAGGGCCGGCCCACTGTAAAATAAAGAAGAAAAAAGGTGGACAAAAATTTCCTCGCTAATCTTAGTCTTTCCACACCATCTTTCAAAATACTTTCCTCACCAATTCTTAAGGCACTTTGTCATGCTGCAATTGAGGTGAAACGTGCATGAGTTTGCTTCTCAGTACACTTGTGACAATTATGGATAGTATCAATTGGGATCGTTCATTGAGTACAATATAGTCGTACTGCACTGGATCACTCCTGGATCATAGTTTTGTACAGTTTTTAATTTATTATGACTTTGGTTAACATAATATGTTAAAATTCCGGAGAATAGTTATCAATTTAAATTGATAAATCTTGAAAACGGATTAAAGCCTGTGATTCTCCCAGAAGCTGCCATTTTAAATAATATTGCTTGGTTCACACTTTTTGGCTAACGAGGGGCTTGGAATTGCCTTCATTTGCGCTCCAGTTTGTCGCAACTCTACTGTATTCTATGCGACTGTTGCGTCAAACATTCACCGAAAATAACTCTTGTATGTATCTCTGAGTCAGTTCAAAGCAGTTCGAGCTAGACGTCCACCTAGTTTAACTCAGGTTAATTTAACACC